TTCCTTTTTTTTTTTTTTTTTTTAGTACCGGGATCAGACTCAGGTCCTTGCTTTTGCGAGGCAGTTGACGGCACCACTGAGATAAATCCCTGGCCCTGTGACACAATTCTTAACACTGACATCACCTCACCACCCTCTTTGTGTAAGAAGTCTTATATATCCCACAATTTCATTTAATCATTTTATTAAGGGATAAAAGAAAAATTTATCTGATGACTGATTGATCTTTTTAAAAAAACTGCAGGAGCAAATCATGTCCAACAATTCAGTAACTTACTTTTTGCCTCCTGAAATTAAAGGAACCAGTTTCCATTATAGTATATGTCCTTCTCTTTTTCTATGATTTTACAAATACATAGGAAAAATTTATATATATGGGCTGCTTTAAAAAAATAAAATGAAGTCATACTGTAGTATTATTCTGTCACTGAAAATTTTTCATCTATGGACATCACTCTAAATCTATTTATATCCATCTGTGAACACTTATAAGGTTAAATTTTTCCCACTGTGGACGTTTTATAAACTCATTAATGAGATGGTGGAAATTAAAGATGCTTGAAGCTTCCCAATGAGTCAGTGGCAGTGCTTGGTATAGAGTACTCTCTACTGATTAAAGCATGGGTTCTTCCTGGCATGGTGGTGCACTGCTGTGATCCCAGCATTCTGGGAGGCTGAGGCAGGGAAATCACAAGTTTGAGCCAATCTGGGCCAACTTAGTGACTTCGCAAGACCTTACCTCAGAATTTGATTAAAGAAAGGAAGAAAATTGCTGCCTGCCTTGCAAACACAAGGACCCGAGTTTGATCCCCAGTACCCCAAAAAAAGGAAGGAAAGAAGGAAAGGAAGGATGGATAGACAAAGGGTAGGAGGGTGGGCTGATGGACTGGGAAAGTAGCTTACTGTGAAGGACCTGGGTTCATCCCTAGTACTGCAAAAACCAAACCAAAATGAACAAAAAATACAACACAGCATGGATTATTAATTTAATCTACTTGACTGAAGCTCTACCCTATGCCATGTATGTCATGTTTTTGTGATTCATTTTTTCATTCCTAAAATGAGAGTAATAGTATCTACCTTATCTGGTATAAGATTTATATGATTTACTTAGTTCATATGTGATTTATATGTAAAAGTACTTACAACTGTTCTTAGCACATTGAAAATGCTTAACAAATGTTAGGTATCATGTCATGTTGTTATGAAATATTCAAAAAGTATTTGTTATTTTGTAATTATTATTATTATTACTGGCCTAGGTCCCACCCTGATTCTGATATGAAAAGGGCTATCCAAAGTACAAACTTCAAATGGAAGGCAAGAATTTCCAGGGAAAAATGACATAGTGGCCATAAATTCAGCAGGTGCTTCATCTTGATTATAGAAATATGATTTATCTTCTCCTTTGCTTTATCCAGGTGGGGAGATAGCTTCTAAAAGTGAACTGGATGAATTGCAGGAAGAGGTGGCCAGGAGAGCCCAGGAACAGGAACTTAGAAGAAAACGAGAGAAAGAATTAGAAGCTGCTAAAGGGTTTAACCCTCATCCTAGCCGCTTCATGGACTTGGATGAACTGCAGAATCAGGGTAATTGTTGTGAGAATTAATTGTGGGTGATAGGGGTTGGAGAAAAAAAGTAGGAAGAAGGAACAAATCTTGTAAATTCACTCTCTTCTCTTTAGTAAAATTATATATTTTTTTCTTAATTCAACAATTCTAAAGATACCTACTAAAATAGGAGTTAATGAGCCTGTTGATTGGACATAGGCACTGATTTTGGCCATGCCTATTAAGATCTTGTAGATTAGAGGCAGTATATGATTTATTAAAAATGTTTTTCCTGAATATCTAAAGAAAGTGTAAATTAAACTAATCTCAATTCAGAAACAGTCGAAAAGGGCAAGGAGCCACACTGACAGGGGATTTCTACTTGCTGGGAAGAAATATACCCCAAAATATCTCACCTGGAACTTTAGGGAAGTTGATCTGCTGAACGGGAGCCAAGAACATCATACCTAATTTAACTTTTTCTTTCCCCTAAAGTAATTCTGGTACTCAAACCCAGAGTCTACTGTTGGGCAAGCCCTTCACCGCTGAGCTACACTCCCAGCCCCTACTTTACATTTGATCCCATAACAATTATTCCCTAGACTCATGAGAGACTGCATGGATGTAAGCTTCCCTAAGCACCCCTTCCTCTCCAGAACTTGTGCCAAAAACTGTCTTCAAGATATGAATTCAGTAAGGCTGAAGTCTCTTATCTTTACAAGCTTGTGAAATATATCAGCTTTTCTTTCTATAAAATGAATTTATCATTATTCAGAATCCCCAGATATAATGAATTCTGTTAAAGTAGTGACAGACAGGAGCCAGTGCTGTTTCAGTGGCTGCTTTCTATTGATTATTTTTCTCTCTTTATCCTTTAAGAAGCTGCCTTGGCTAAGTAGACCTATTTTGGGACAGCTTTTCTCTAATCTTATTGTCGTTTAATTCAAGGCAGTTGTCTGATATTTTTTTCCAAAGCATTACATTTGTTTCAAAGTTAGTTTTAAATTGCAAATCCTTAGCTATCTCTGTTTGAATAGTCTTTCCCTTTTTAACCTCAAGCTCTGTCACTGTGGTTTCCCAGGTTATGTTACCTCTCAAAGAGGGATCTTGGCATCTTGTTCCTTGTCTTTTTTCCCCCTTCTGTAAGTTGAGAAGGAATTCCATTATGGTTTTTTGTTTTTTTGTTTTTTTCTGTGTGTACCAGGGATCAAACTAGGGTCCTTCCTCTTGGGAGGCAGGGGGCGGAACCACTGAGTCAAATCCCAGGCCCTCCTTTATGTTTTATTGTCAGTTCTCCGTATGCTTTGGTTCAGCATCTGGAACAGGGAGTACTAAGATTTGGGACGATAAGAATTTAAATCTAAGTTGGAACAGTGCTGCCCACCTAAAATTACTGTAGTAAGTGACGCTAAGGCAAAAGAATTGTATGTTTGTTTCTCTAGTTAATGAGACCCCCACCCCCGAATAAAAGAGCTTATACCTTAGTGGTAGAGCATCTCTGCATTCAATCCCTAATATTGTGCCATGTGCGCATGCACACACACACAAAATTTAGTGCAGTGATAACTATAATTTGCCTAGATCTCTATAAAGTTGAGAACATTTTTTTAAAAATGGCTTTAGTGTCCAGGCATGGTGGTGCATGCCTGTGATCCCAGAACTCAGGAGGCTGTGGCAGGTGGATTTGAGTTTGAGGCCAGTGTGCGCTACATAGTGAGTCAAGGCCACCCTGAATTACAGATTGAGACAGTGTCTCCCCCGCACCTCCCCAAAAGCTTTAGCCATCTCCTCTGGTTATAAGTTATAAAGGTTATAAATTCAGTTGATTCTAAATATAATAATGATGGAAGTTTGGGCTTTAATAAACCACACTTCTAGACATGAGATTTACCCTGAGTGCCAAGTTCTCCAGAACCAACCTTCTACTTCCACTTTCTTTTAATTACATTCTAAAAGCCATAATGAATTATGAAGTGAAAGTTAGGGATGTGGAAAGTATTTCTTGCCATGTCCAGCTGGAGGTAAGTAGAAGATGGAGGAGGGTGTGTATGGAGAGAAATGACTCAGACATGATCATTTTTTTCTCTGTGACCTTATGAAAGATCAAGGTCACTCCCAGTTTTAAGTGAATAAATTCATATTATAAGGTTTTAGCTTTAATGGTTTTGAGTAAGTTGAAAGTAAGGGGATAAACTTGAGGATTCATGTATAGAAGTTGCCTGTCCTGTGCATATAGCCTTTTCATCTGGCATTGTATGTGGACTCTTCTGTATGTGCCTTGACACACATCTGCTTTGAGAGAAGGAAGGACTATTCCCTGTTGACTGTGATTTTTGAGGGTGGTTTTGGTGAAAAAGGCCATCATAAAAGAAAATACTTAGCCAGGTATGGTTGCACACATCTGTAGTCCCTTGCACTTGAGAGTCTCAGCACTTGAGAGGCTGAGGCAGGAGGATTGCCACAAGTTCAGGGCCGCCCTTTGCTACATAGTTCAAGGCCAGCCTGGACTACATAGTGAGAGCTTGTCTCAAGAAACCCAAAACAACAACAACAAAAATAAAAAACTCAAAAACAGTCAATACAGTACTTAGCAGTGCTGATGAAGTTTATGTCCATTTAACAATAAATGCTGTTCAACTGCTTTGATAGATATAGTGCTGTAGGAGCTGTAAACCACCTGTAGCCTAGAGGTATACTAAGTCTCTACATTAGGGTGGTTTTACAGCATCATAAATTAATGTGTGAAAGAAGTGATGTATGACTTTCCACAGAATAGTGAAGCCATGTTTGCCATAACAACACTGGATATCTGGGTGATACTGACTGGCACTTGTGGAAAAGTAGCTCAGTTCCAGGTATAAGAATCTACATTGCTAATATAACAAATGCTTTGTTCTTTCCTTGATGGATTCCCTAAGTGCTCATTGGTAAGGTCTCAAGGCTCAAATGGTTGTCCACTTGTTTCATAGACTTACTAGCAATGAACAGTTGGGATAAGCGTAGAATAGTGGCTCAACAGCAATGATCTATGTGTTCCAAAGCGGAAAAGTAGTACATAGGAAAAGTTGGTATTAGTCAGCTTTCTGTTGCTTTGACAAAATACCTGAAATAAACAATTTAAAAGGAGGAAATGTTTATTTGGGATCATAATTTCATAGGTTTTGGTCCATAGTTACTTGGCCCTGTTGCTTTTCGGCTTATGGTGAAGCAATATATCATAACAGAAGCTTGTGGTAGATGAAAATTCAACTCATGGCAAACAAGCAAGGGGTGAGGGTTGCAATATCCCAGTATAACCTTCAAGGGCATCCTCCCATGACCTACTTCCTCTAACTCAGCCACCTCCTAAAGTTTTATCCCTCCCAGTAGCACCACCAGCTGGGAATCACGCCTTCAGCACATGAACATTTGGAAAGCATTTAAGATCCAAATTTTAACAATTATAATAAAAATGAAAGTACTGGCCCTTTCAGGGAGGAGTGACGGCTTTGAGAGGTCCCTGCAAGAGGCAAATTCAGTGTTTGAAGAGTCGCTGCATCTGGAACAAAAGGGAGACTGTGCTGCAGCTTTGGCTCTTTGTAACGAAGCTATCTGTAAGTAACTCTAACCGCTATGGCTATGGCAGTTTTGACTAACTTCACAGTAGATATTAGTGTTGTCATTCAGATGGCTATAAAAAGTTTTATGTCTTTTCATTCACGTTCTCTAGTTGAGGCTCTTTGACTGTCTTTGCCCTCTGGATTTCTAAATGTGTCTGGCATTGTTATTGTAGCCTTGTGGATATTTACTAGAAGAACCTCAGCAGTAATCCACAGATGAATTCTCTAGCCATGCCTGCCTTCTTATTCCAAGATAATGTTAAACCTCAGATATGAGCTCAGTTTACTCGTTTACTAGTTAGTGGGAGTTCATGGTAGGAAAACTGATTAAATTGGTTGTGACTTCCCACCACAATATTCAGTTCTTTTTATTTCTTTCCTGCCTTCCTGGTATGCAGCACCATACATAATATTACAGTAAGGGACTGAGGCTTAAAATTGGTATCTTACTATTAAATGTGACTGACAAGAAGCTGTGCTCTGTAAGGACAGAACAGGTTTGGATCTTATTTCTGCTGTTGGCCACCTGGAAGGGGGAGTTGGGAACAGAGTGTGGAGACCAGAGCTGAACAGGTCAGTTGGTAAGGATGACAGGAGTGGCAACCTTTAAGCACTAGTTTATCTTCCTGGTTTGTTTTAGTTAGTTGTTTTTATTTTTATTTACTTTTTAATTTAAATTAACCTGTTTGGCCTCCATGGCTTCCATGAATGTTCTGTATAGCCAGAGCTAGCTCTGTGCCCTGGACAGCATATGCATGGTCCATGGCTTGCATTCATTCCTGCTGCATATTTTGAGTTTTACTGCATATGTTTGCTTGTTTTGGTTCAATTTTGTTCTTTTTATTTTTCTTTTGTATTTTGTGTTCTGTTCCTGCTATATTTTCTTTTGCATTTTAGCTAAACTAAGACTTGCCCTGCATGGTGCCAGCTCTAGCACGCACAGCAGAGCCCTAGTCGATAAGAAGTTGCAAATCAGTATTCGAAAAGCACGGAGCCTGCAGGATCGCATGCAGCAGCAGCAATCATCCCAGCAGCCGTCGCAGCCCTCAGCCTGCCTCCCATCTCAAGGGGGGGCCCTCCCTCAGCCAACAAGGTAGTGCTTGGGAACCATATTAGTTTATGGATGCCAGGGGAGGAAATGACCATGGGTGCTCTTGTTGCCTTTGTGTCTACAGGGGAGATAGGAGTCTGCTGAAAAGATTTTCTTCTCTCAGGTCAAACATAACAATAGAAAAGCTCAGTGCACTGGTGATCCTTCTTCCCTTAATAGTTTCTAGAGTAATCCAAAAAGTATAGCATAACAAATGGACCACTTATCCAAATTTCCTTGGGTGAATTTATACCTGGACTTGATATGATTATTATATGGAACATACTATGTTCTTAGACATGTCAATATTGGCTACATTTCATGTTCCAGTAGCAAACCTGTGCTTTATTTTAGGATTTCAGTGCTTCCTTCCTTTCTTCACAGAAACAGAGTAGGCAATCTTCCTTGCTGTAATGGTGCCATAGAGAAGAGACAAAAAGATTTTCTTTGTTTGCTTCTTTAAGGTCAGAACTTGGGAAAAAAGTAGCCATTTGTTTCACATCTTAGTCCTTAAATTTGGCTTTTACTTAGAATAAGTGAATCTAAGTAAAAATTAATTTTGACTGTTAAGGATGAGTAGTTTTCAAAATATAAAAAATACAAATATAAAACCAGGTACTTTTTTTTTTTTTAAGGACTAATATTCAACAACAAAGTGTGGGCTTGGAGAAGATAAGAAACCTGAAATTTCTTACCTAAAAAATGGTAGAAGTGTAGAATTCAAATCCAGATCTTATTAGCCGGCCGTGGTGGCATATGACTATAATCCCAGCACTCGAGAGGCTAAGGCAGGAGAATTGTTCTAAATTCGAGACCAGCCTGGATTACATAGTGAGTTCCAGGTCAGTCTCAACTACATAGTGAGACCCTGTCTCAAAAACCAAAAACCAAACAAATCCAGGTCTTCTTGATGTCAAAGCACATGTCTTTGCTCACTGTGAAATATAGCCTGTTAGGATTAGATTTCCCATATAAATGTGTTCTTCATAATGTTATAATGGTAACTAGGTAACAAAGCCTAGCATAGTTCATAGAATATAGGTTAAATATCTGTTATCCAAAGAACTTGGGACTAGAAGTGTTTTACATTTCAGTTTTTGTTTTTTTTTAATATTTGCATAGACTTTACTTTTTAAAAATTTTTATTTTTGGAGACAGGGTCTCATTATATAGTTCATGCTGGCCTTGAACTCACTGTATAGCTCAGGCGGGTCTCAAACTAGCAGCAGTCTGCCTGCTTCAGCCTCCTGATTTCTGCAGTTATAGGTGTGTGCCATCATGCCTGGCTGCGTAGATTTTATTCTGATTCTCTGAGCATCCTTAATCCAAAAAAATCTGAAATGCTCCAAAATTCAGAATTATTTCATCATTATTTCTGTACTCGAAAAGTTTTAGATTTTAGAGCATTTCAAATTTTACATTTTCTTTTTTCTTTTTTTTTTACATTTATTTGAGGTGTTAAAGGTAAGAAAATGAGGGAAAGGAAGTCTTACATTTTCTTATTAGGAAACCAAATTTCACAAATTTTGGAAGGCAAAATCCTGATGCTCAGATTAAGTATGCACAGGTTGAGCAGCCTAATTTGAAAGGGTGAGGTTTTAAGTGCTTCTAACAATGTGATTTTTTTTATTAGAAATATAAAAGTTAATGAGAAACCAACTAAATACAATTAATCCCTTTTACCACTCCTAAGTCTCAAGAAAGCCCTAAAGTATATTACTTTAAGGAAGCATCTCAGTATTACAATGAAACCCAGATTATGAAAATATTTAAAATAGTTGATTTCTGTGTATGCATATCATATTGTATTCTGTAATTATATCTTTTTGGTTCCCTTCACTGGGCTACCTCACAGGCCCTAGGTAGGGCTTTCCTCCTTGTATAGCATCCTGAAGTTTTGTTGTTTCGGATGAATGATTTTCAAGCTTCGCTTACCTTCCATGTCATTTGCATGTGGGACTCGCAATTTTTACTTTTTTTTTTTGGTACCAGGGATCAAACTCAGAACCTTGCACTTGTAATGCAGGTGGTGGAACCACTGAGCTAAATCCCTGGCCCCACAATATTTACTCTTTAATTTGCAAGTAGAAGGTGATTATAATGAAACTTCACAGGTAGTGAAGAATATTGCCAAGGAATACACAGTATTATTGTATGCAACTTTGGAGATGGCATTTAATAGAAGATTAATGTTACATATTTATCTGGGTATGAATGAACTATGTGTCTTTTCTTTTTTGACTTTTGAACTATTGACTCTATTTGTAGTTATCTTTCCAGTTATTTTCATCATTTCCTCTGTGGATAGCTAGAAACGGGAATGGATTGAACAGTTCTTTTTGGAAGTGTTCTTGTCAATCAGGGCAACTTTTGACTGTTTTTTTCCCTTTTGTTTCAGTGAACAGCCTATCCCGCTCCAAGTACTGTTAAGTCAGGACACCCACCTGGAATCCTGCATGGATACAGAGTTTGGGGCCAGTTCTTCTTACTTCCACTCACCTGCTTCCTGCCATGAGTCACACTCATCACTGTTCCCAGAGTCACTTGCCCCATCTGTCCCACAGCAGAATTCCCCCAGTAGATCTGCCTTGAAGCTTCTGACTTCAGTTGAAGTGGACAGCATTGATTCCTCTGAATTCCACAGGCAGGGTTTACCTAAAATACCAGGGAAGACTGAGAATTCTCAGTATGATTGTTTGCCATTGGATGCCCTAGAGGGTAAACTGCAAGGCCACAAGGATGACAACAGCTACAGCAGGTTCTCTCCACAAGAAGGGAAGGGCATTCCTCAAGAACAATTCCAAGAAAAAAGGAATCCTGCTGACCCATTCCTTATGATGCCTTGGTCACTTCCAACAGGAAGAGCTATCTCTGAGAGAGGAGATCCACAGAGTCTTGGCTCTAGTCTTTCAAGTTTATCAACTCAGCCCAGCTTTCCCCTGTATAGGGCTTGCCACCCCATAATGCCTGCTGCTTTATCTGTGCTTCATTCTCCTGATCCTGTGGAGAAAACTAACCAATGCCTCCAAGCCCAAAGCCTTCAAAATTCATTGACTTCAAAAGTGGACAGAGGCAATGAGGAATTCTACAGGCCAGAGTTTCCCAGCACAAAGGGACTTGTCCGCTCTCTGGCAGAACAATTCCAGAGAATGCAGGTTATCTCCATGAGGGACGCCACAGGTTCCCAGGACAGAAATTTGCCAAATAATCTAAGGAAGAACTGTTCCTTTTCTGACTCTCAGCCTCCTTTCCCACAAGGTCAAGGAAAAGGCCACTGTCCTTGGACAAAACAGCAACCATGCCTAGATGGTAGAGACAGACTGCATTCCTGGGAAGATCCTGCTGACCATGCTTCTCTCGCCGTGGATTCTGGGCTGTCTAGTAGTGTAACTTCTAGGGGAGGACAGCCTAGGTTGGCAGAGCCAGGTGTATACCAAGGAAAGCTGTCTCAAGTAAGAGATACTGGGCCTAAGGAGCTAGGTAGCAGTATCAACTTGGGGACTTCCTTGCCTTTGGATTCCTGGGTGAATGTCACAAGGCTCTGTGATTCTCAGCTTAAACATGGGGTACCTGGGTCAGGAGTAAAGTCTTCTCCCCATGATTCCCATACCTGTGTAATCTATCCAGAGAGAAATCATATCCTTTTGCATCCACATTGGAACCAAGATACAGAGCAGGAGACCTCCGAATTAGAGTCTCTCTACCAGGCCAGTTTTCAAGCTTCTCAAACTGGCTGTCCTGGATGGGGGCAGCGAGATGTGGCTTGGCATCCACTTAGCCAAACAGGTAAGAGTGCAACCAGGGGTTGGGCAGAGTGGAGGGCATATAAAACCTGAAAGCAGGAGAAGGGGTGATGTACTGTATAGATAGCATCCCTATCTTGGTAAGGGAGTGTGGAACTTCTGACTTTACTCACATAGCTTTGAGGACAAGGATTAGACATTTTATGGATTAGAGCAGAGAATGGGGACAGAATTAACACAAAGATCAATTCCTTTCTTCTTAAGAAAAAGACCACTAAGTGCCCATGGTCCCCCCAGTACTAAGGATTGGTTCATAAGTCTTTGAGAGTGACTCAACATGAGATGGAAGAATTAAAAGAAAGGGTCACCCTTCTACAATTTAGATACTAAACTAACCTCAAGGTGTAGACTATAGGTCTCTTGCAACAGGGATGTCCATACTGAGCCAGATCTCCAGTGTGGCATTTCCAGATCATTCTGAACCAGGAATGTTAAGATCTTTCCTGACCCCTTTAGGAAATGCCAGGTTAGTCTCCACAGAACTTTCAAGGTAGTATGTTTGTAGAGCAACTATTACTGACTTTCTTTAAGATACTACACAGAGAGGGGGGACTGAAACCTACACCTCAAAAGCACATTGCAGATTTAATCCTGGAAATTGAATATATGGAGAATGTTTATAACTAACATTGATGTACTTAACTCCACAGCTGAACTTTTTTCCTGATTCTGACATTAACTCTAAGGATAAATTTGGACAAGACACTTCATATCCCAGAGTCAAGTTTTTCTCTCTAAAATGAATTGGTTTAATAGTTTTTGTTTTGTTTTGTTTTGTTTTTTTGAGACAGGGTCTCACTATGTAGTTGAGTCTGACCTGGAACTCACTATGTAGCCCAGGCTGGTCTCGAACTCACAGTGATCCTCCTGCCTCAGCCTCCCCAGTGCTGGGATTACAGGCATGCGCCACCACACCCGGCTGTTTAATAGTTTTTTGTTTGTTTTTTTAAAGTAATCTGAACTCTGAAATGATATGTATCTATAAACTGAACTCAGAGAACTTCAGCTAGCTTGTGGCAGTTTTTGTAATAGTATAGGCTCCTTGAATGCAGACAATCCATGTTTAATTACAGCCAAATAAGTGTTTAGAGTGACCACTATGTTCTCTGGAGCTTTGCGGGGAGACCGCAGAAATAAGAAAATTGATATTAAGATATGGTTCTGTAAATCTGCATCCTAGCATTGATTTTATAATAACATGTACTCAGTGCGCTTTAGGTACATGGGACAGGGCAGTATGTGAAAATTATAGAGTGAGGAAATCCTGGAGTCTGCTTTAGTGAACTGTTTAATACAAGGGAAAAAGAATTTACAAATATTAAATGTTTTAATAAACATACAAAATAATACATTGGGATACTGAACTAATAATTGAATGTTAAGTTAAATATTCCAAAACAAAGACAAAAACCCATATAATGCCAAAAATAACATTTTTCATTATAATTACAGGGGTTTTATTGGGTTGATTTTTTTTTTTTTTCTTTTTGAGAAAGTTTCACTATGTAGTTGAGTCCAGGTTTGATCTCACTGTGAAGCCTCAGCTGACCTCAAACTCGTTGTCCTCCTGCCTCAGCTTTCTGAGAGCTGGTGTTGTTTGTTTTATATTTAGAGAACTCTTTTTTGTTTGTCTGTTTGTTCATTTTTGGTACCAGGGATCGAACTCAAGGCCTTGTGCTTGCAAGTTAGGCAGCGGAACCACTGAGCTAAACCTACGTCCTTTATTGTTTGCTTTGTTTTGAGGTACTAGATATTGAACCTAAAACCTTTACACTGAGCTACATCCCTATCCCAGTCTTTTGTTCTTGTTTTTCTTTTCTTTTCTTTTAAGATAGGATGTCAGTAAGTCTTTAACTTTCCCAAGCTGGACTTGAACTTACAATGTTTATGTCTCAGCTTCCCATAGATTATAAGCATGTGCTGTTATGCCCAGCTAAACCCAGGGCCTTACACTAAAGTACATCCCCAGCCTCATTAATTCATTTAATGGTACTAGGGATTGAACCCTTTTCTTTCTTTTTTTGTTACCAGGAATCGAACTGAGAGCTTTTCGCTTGCCAGGAAGGCTCTGTGCCACTGAACAACATACCTGGCCCATGAATCCTTTTCATTTGCAGCTGTTCTTGAACTTGTGATCATTCTGTCTTATCTTTTGGAGTAGCTTGAATAGCTTGAGTAGCTGGGATTGCAGGTGTGTGCCAGCTGTGCCTGGGTTCAGTTGGGTTTTAAAAAATTGTTAAACATATTTATTTATTTATTTATTTATTTATTTATTTATTTATTTTGTTGTGTTATGGATCAAGCCCATGCTGTTGCCTATGCTATACAAGCACTCTACAACTGAACTACATCCCCAGCCCATCACAGTCAGATTTGTTTGTGGGGTTTTTTTGTTGTTTTGTTTTGTTTTCTGTATAGGATTGAACCCAGGGCCTCACCCATGCTGGGCAAGTGCTCTACCACTGATAGGATCATAGTATACATGCCGTTTTTATTATAGTCTGTTTTCTTGATTATTTCTCTGTTCCTTACAGCAGCCCTTATCTTTTAACTTCCACTTCCCTAGGTAACAATGTAGCGTGCATATAGTATACCTAGGTAGTATACATACACCTGTATTTTGGTATCCATATACTACTGTGGAGATCTGCATATGTAGTGCTTTTTTTGCCTGGGGATTATATGACAGTTACTTTCTTTTACTTCAACAATGTTTCATGTAAATCATCCAAGTCATATAGTTTCACTCAGTTCATTTTTCTAGTGGATGGGCAACATTTGATATCAAGTACACCCTAATATATTTAGATTTTTTTTATATAAAGGTATTATTTTAGTTTTTGGCTACTACAAATAATGCCAGAAGAAAACATCCTTATAGAAATTTTGTTACAAACTGTCATTTTTTTCTTATTCCTAAGAGTAGAGTTTTTGAACGAGAGAGTACCTATTTTTTTTCAATTTTAATAGAAATTTCCAGGTGTTGCTTTTTAAGAAAAATATACCATTTGTTTTAATAATATAATATTCAAAGATACCCCCCTTTTTTTGGTACTGGGGATCAAACTCGGGTCCTTGCACTTACAGGGAAGACAGTGGAACCACTGAGCTAAATCCCCGATCTCTCCACTCTTCTTTTAATAAAGATTGTTAGGCTGGCCAGGGATTTAGCTCAGCGATTCTTCTGCCTGCCTCACAAGCACAAGATCCCAAGTTCAATTCCTGGTACCAAAAAAAAAAGATGGTGCTAGGCAGGGTGGTGCCTGTCTATAATGTCAACAGTCTAGAAGGCTGAGGCAACAGAATTATAAGTTTGAATCCAGCCTGGACAACTTAGTGAGATCCTGTTTTTTTGTTTGTTTTTTAAAGCTGTGGATGTAGGTTAGTGCAAAAGTCCTGGGTGCAACTCCCATTAATCCAATAAGTAAATGAGATGAAATTAAATAGGAAAGTTTTTAAGGCTCCAACCAGAGAAATTCTGATTCAAGTCTGCAGTGAAGGAAGGTATATCTTTACTTAATTCAAAAATGTATTTATTAACTTAATGATGCTGCAGATTGAACTCTGGGACTTGTGCCTGCTAGGCACGCACTGCCACCATACTACATGCACTGCCACTATACTACACCTCCAGCCCTAGAAAGCTATATTTTTTAAGTTCCTAGATGTGTTGTTATAGCCATTGCATTTAAAATCAGGAAATATTAAAAGTAACTGAATTTCAGTATTTATAACACTAATATCATACCTTAGCCAGATATCTATATTACAAACAAAATGCTAAATGAAGATACAGATTGGCTGTGTACGTAAATATCAAATGTAGGTCAAGGGCATTTACATTTTCAGAGTAAAAAGCTTAATTGGATTGGGAACAGCTCCTTGGGAGTCATATCCAGTTTGGAATAGCAATAGTGGTTGTTTAGAATTTAAGTTTTTAAGAGAAGCTGGGTCCATGGGAGATTGAAGAACCTTTCATATGCCATGTATTCCTGAAGAGCTCCTGTTCAGTGATAGGGAACCAGGTGAGATGATAAAGACAACTGTGCTGAAATTGAGAGACTTGAAATTTAATCCTAGTTAAACTACTGACTACCTGTCAGATCCTGGAACTCATTTTCCTGTTATATGAGGAGGCTTGATTATGGGATTGCTATGATCTTTTCAATTCTGAACTAGATTAGAGATAATAGTTACCTTTGTCACCACAGATACTCTAGAAAATCACTATGTCAGATAACTTATTTTCTATGTGTTACAAATCTTAGACCCAACTCTGACAGAAGCTGATTATGTTTACAAAAAAGAAATAAGATTAGATGAGGATATTGGCTGCCTGTTTATAGAGCTGCTTTTTTATGAAGTTCTTCAAGGGCTGTGAATGTCACCCTTCTGACCTATAGCAGTTTATTCATATTCTGGAAATTCCTTCTTTCTGAGTGCCAAGAGAACATTCTCATTAGATTCAGGGATGCATATTTATTACTTATTGGATCAAGAGCTCCTGAGTTTGTTTTTCCAGTCTCAGAGTTTAGGCCCCAGAAGAGTGATGGCTTTAACTTACATTTATGTTTTCCTCCTTAGGCTTGGCAGATGGCACAGTGAGGAGATTGCACTCAGCCCCTAGTCTTGATCTCTCAAAGACCCCAACAAGAGAATTGGAGCACATTTTCTGTGAAGTCAGCACAGTGCCTGTGTCACAGGTAGCAGCCTCAAGTGCAAAGGTTAGACCTGGGTGGTGTGTTAGGGAAAAAAGTGTGCAAATAAATATGTGTTAGGGTTGGTTGTGAGACAGAGGTATGGTAATGTGGGCTATCAGAAGAGAACAAGGACTGGAATAAGGCTGCTTTTGAGTGAGACGAGATTGCCACGTGGCTGCTACCTTTCAAATATATCTAGTTAAGGTGTTTAACTAGGAAACTTTACCTTATTTTCTTTCATGTCCCTGGAAAACCACAGGTCTGATGTTATGCGTCTGCCTATGTGTTTTGTATATTTCAAGGCTGCATCTTACTGAGGCCTCAGCAGAGAATATAGGGAGGATGAACAATACAGTACAGTCAACTTTGGCTACCTCTCATGCAGTCTCAGTGGCACCACTGTCTCAGAGTTAGAAGAGGCTCCAGTGTCTTCCTATAGTTTTGTAAGTAGCATCAGGGTCCAGAATCAGAGTGTCCTCTTTGCTGGGTAAAAATACAGTGCAGATAAAGGAGCAGCGAGAAACTGAAGGTTGCAACTTGTGAAAAACCAAGTATATTCAGCAAAAATGAAGATATATGATCATTTTTTAAAATTTATAGACTCTCACTTGGAGCCCAGAGAAATATCTCTTTGCTAGAAAATTTGCGAGAGCCTTGAGAGAAATCTGAAGCAAAAGCTCTTGATAGGGTTAGAACCTGTGGTATTTATCAAAGGAAAAATGGAAAGGCCAGGGATATAGCTCAGTGTTGCCACACCTGCCTGGCAAGTGCAAGGTCTTGAGTTTGATCCGCAGTACCAAAAAAAAAAGGGCGGGGGATAGAGCTGGGCATGACAGTACACATCTGTAATCCCAACACTGAGAGGCTGAGGCAGGAGGATCACAAGTTCAAGCCCAGCCTGGGCAACTTAGATACTGTCTCAAAATAAAAACAAAGGGATGTATGTTAGTGTGAAGGGCTTGTGTTCAATCCCTGTATCTTTAAGGAAAAAAAAAAGCTAGGAGAGCATAGTTAGCACACACCTGTAATCACAGCACTTAGGAGGCAGAGTCAGGAATATCACCATGAGTTTATAAGTTATCTGTTCTTTTGAGAATTTTACACATTTTTCCCAGGATAAGTTGAGTTTTTATTATAATAGTGGTCAGGTTGCAAAGCACCAGTGCACTGAAGCTTGTGCACTAAGATAGTCAATAAAAATGTAAAAACAAGTTTTATTTTATTTTATTTTTTTATTGTACCTGGGAACTCATGCATGCTTGGCAAGCACTCTACCACTGAACTAAATCCCCAGTCCCTTTAAAAAGGGTTTTAAATACAGTATATGGTGCAACAATAAAAAGGTACAGCTGGACGTGATGGTGCACACTTACAGTCCCAGCACTCTGGGTGCTTGAGGCAAGTGGATTGCCAAGTTTAAAACCCAACTGGACAGCTTAACAATTTAGTGAGACTCTGTCTCAAAGTACAAATACTAAAAAGGGGGCCGGGGATTTAGCTCAGTGGTTCTGCCACCTGCCTTGTAAGCACAAGGACCAGAGTTCAATCCCCAGTACCAAAAAAAAAAAAAAAAAAAA